GGTTGTTTAGCCTGGAGAAAAGGAAGCTGAGGGGAGACCTCATTGCTCTCTACAACTACCTGAAAGGAGGTTGTAGCGAGGTGGGTGTCGGTCTCTTCTCCCAAGTAACTGGCGATAGGACGAGAGGAAACGGCCTCAAGTTGCACCAGGGGAGGTTTAGATTGGACGTGAGGAAAAATTTCTTTACTGAAAGAGTGGTTAAACATTGGAAGAGGCTGCCCAGGGAAGTGGTTGAGTCACCATCCCTGGAGGTATTTAAAAGACGTGTAGATGCGGCGCTTAGGGACATGGTTTAGTGGGCATGGTGGTGTTGGGCTGATGGTTGGACTCGATGATCTTGGAGGTCTCTTCCAACCTTCATGATTCTACGATTCTATTCTATGATTCTAACTGCAGTAAAGATTCAGATTATAAATTTATACAGGCAACAAAATATGAAGAGATTGTAAACCTATACTAGAGATGAGAATTGTGTTAATATTTTATTCCCTTTTCATCAAATTTACCAAAACATTTAAAAAGATTCCTATTCCCCTCCATTTTCACTGAGAAAAATGTTTCCATAGCAATTTCTGACTAGAAGTTTGCATGATGATCTATGCAAGTTACACACCAGAGGCTGTAGCAATGCTATAAGGGATGAATGAGTGAAATAAACCCTGAGGCTGAATTATACTAATCTAACTTTAGTAGTCTAAAAGCCAGTAATATGGGATACTTCTGTCCTTAGATGAAAAAGACAGGAGTCGCAAAAATATGATTCATTCCCTCCAAGAAACTGAGTACTCATCATCCCCTGAAGGTTATTTTCACTGTAAATATTTACTTCATTTATTCACTAATTATTACTGATTCTGCTATGTTATATGCCCAATCTTCACTAATTAGCAAGAATTGGGATTTTAAATTTAGAATCACACAGAGTAAGGAATGCTTGTAGCTGCACAGATGCAATGAGGGGAAAGGAGAGTCCTCTGTCATGCTGATTGAAATCTTAATACTTGGATATATATATTCAAATGCACAGAAACATATACAAACATGTTCAATATGTTTCATAAAATTAATTGGATACACATTTTTAATCACACAGGCAAACAGTCACAGATTTCTGAAATAAAATAACATACATGACTTAGTAAGAGACATAACAGGAAGTGTGAGTGAAACCAATTCAGTAGAATTACGAAATTTTCCATTATTTGGAGGGAGAGTTATTGTATCTATTCTGGACCTCTGATTAAGGGCTGTATATCCCAAAAGATTAGGTATTTTCTATCTATATCATTTGTCTAGTAAAAGATACTTCCTCTGTCTACAAACTTAACCTTTCTTATTTTCAAGTTTTGAAAAAAGCACATTGAAAAGAAATATAGTCTTAGAAAAGATAAGTTAGAGATGATGAACTTATTTCTGTGCTTACATATGGATTTCACTCTCTATTCACATCAAAGTCAGATCACGAGGATTACTATGGTAAGCTCTTGTATTGTTCCTACAAAAGTGCTTGGGAAGAGAAAACATAATCTATAGACATTATTCAGGGTCAGCATATAATTCTGACTGTCCCACTCAACAAAATATTCTATTAAAAAGGTAAAATTTCAGCTGAACTAGATGCACACTTTAATATGCCTACCTGTTCCAAATCTAGCAACACAGTAAAACTCAACTGACAAGTCTACAATTTGAAAAGAAATAGCAATACAATTTGGTCATAGGCTGTCCTCTATGTTTTATTGGTTCACATCTTAGCAGACTATTTTATAGTTTTATAAATAAGCATTTTAAACATTTTCTGGATATTTGATATAGAAGTTTTTTAAACCTGAGTGAAGGTTATTTCTGATGAATAATCAGTTCTAGAATTCAAACTGGAATGGTTCATGAGGATCATGACTGTGAAAAAACAAATAAAATTTAAAATTCCCTTGTGTAATTCAGTCATAAGATGGAGAACAAAAGTCTGGGATAGAAACTATTTTGATCTGTTTGGTAATGCAAAACATTACCAACATTGCATCCTCTGAAGCACCTTTAGAAGAAAATTGAGACGTTCCAGATGTGTGCTAATTGAATTGACAATAGATGTGGTCATAGGAAGAATACAGTGCTAAAGGGAATCAAAGGGGATGAGATCTAATAGATGGTTAGTTTAATTTTGTTGATAAGAACAGAACATATCCAAAGAGACTGTAGAAGAGGAAAGAAAAAAAAGTGAATGTTAGTATCTCCATTTAAGACCTGCTACAGTTCTTCCTATAAAAAAGCAGCACATTCCTGAAGCAATATATTAAAGCACTGTTAACAAATTGATCAAAGGAGTTAGTGAAATTAACAAATACTGCAGAGCCACCTTGAGTTTGGGCAATGGCACTTGGAATAATAAAAAATAATAATGTAAGTATTTCCTTATCAAATGAAAGACTGTGTCAGTAGGTAGGAAGGTCCAGCATAGGCTGTATTTTTTGTCCATCGGTGCTTAGAATGGTGAGTAATGTGCTTCCATGGAGAACCAAGTGTGCAGGATAGAACAAAGTTGTCTGTGATGAATCAGCAGTTCTTTAATACTTTAAATTCCTAGGAAACACAAAACTGTTTACAATTTTTATAAGATTTCTTTTGTAAATACCAAACAATTTTTAAGTATATTGGCACTCCCACTTTTTGCTTTCCTTCTGGCAATGTTAAACATATCTTGAAAAGGCATGCTTTTGACATTTACCAAATACCCTGTGAGAAAACTGTTTACATGTTTATTTCTTCCAACATAATAATTTCTCCTTTGTTACTCTTTGTTTTGCTTGGATTTCTAGGTAAAATTCTTCTTCGTGTAATCTCCATAATGCTATAGAAAATAAGCCTAATATTCCATTTTCAGAACAACTTTAGGAATTTTAATATTTACATAGTACAGAAGATTGGTAGATCTATTTAACTTGCCCTATAGTCTACATCTCATGCGCTTGTTTGTGTGGATTTCCATTATGAATGCTCAGAGGATTGCTCAGGTGAGCAAGGATTAGAAGACTAAGATGTTTGGCAGCACATTGAGATCTGTTTAGACATTCTCCAAGACAGGGATTAGTTTGTTACTTTTTTGTATCTCCTCGAGAGCTGCTATCCAACAGTTTCACTGTCAGTGTGCTGGGTGCTTTAGTGTTGTTCCCTCTTTTGTTCAGTAAGAGACTAAATACTAAGGAGGCATGTATTTTCTGTTGAGCATTCTATTAAACAAGGGGAGACAGAAGGATGTGAAATATTTTCCTGATGTTTTAGGAGAGGAAGGATTTAACTCTTCCTGTGGAGTCTCTATAATGAAGGGGAGAGGTTGTCTTCGGAAATCTGGGATGTGATTTATGCAGTCTTAAAGTGTGTAAGGGAACGAGAGGAAGTATTTTAAAGATGACTTGCACAGCTTGTGCCTCCCATCCTAATTCAGCTATCCAAAAAGGTAAATATCTTGACTTAATAGTCACCAGACAGTAGACGAATGCTGTTCCATGTTCTTTGGGACCTTATTTTAAGTAATAATTCCTTACCATTGTCCCAGAGAACATACAACAGCATTCTTTCACTGTCTGGTGACTATTAAGTCAAGGTATTTACCTTTTTGCATAGCCGTGCAAGTCATCTGAGGTCATTTTAGTGAATATAATATTATCAAAAGGACAATATTGTAGAAAGATAAAGATTTCATTAGTCTTCTTGCTACTTATTACAAATGTACAAGGAAAAGAGTTATTCTGTCTTAAACGTGTCAAGAATATTAGAGTTTGTATTAGACAAAATTTTTTTGTTTTAAATATCTTAATGTATAACTGATTTAAAAACAAAAGAAAACCTTTTAAGTGGAATGACCACTCAAACTGGTATCTGTGTTTCACCTATATGGCACTATCTAATGATTACAAATCTACAGATTTTTAGTTTCGCATGGCATTATATATGCAATACTATCTGCTAAATTAATCTCTATAGAAGAGTTTGGAATGCTTACACACACACCCACACTCCTACACTATAGATAAGATGATATGCATCTCTCTAAAGGAAAACTGTAAACATCATTCTGCCTAAAATGTGTTTATGCTCAAAAGGCAATTGGAATTTCTCCATAAATATACATGAAAAGCATTTCTGAATAAAGATTCAAATTCAACTTCATTGTGCCTTTATGGCCTTATTACATTGGAAGAGTTGGATCCAAAATTGTAAGTACATGTTTACACATTGTATTTCAGGATCTTAGTGGCAATCATTATAGTTATAATATGGAACACTGGTAATAATGAAACCTTCTGCAAAGGTTTATGTGTTTAACTACTTTCCAGCTCAGTTTAAAACTGCCTTACCTAAATTATTTTGTAACATTTATGCAGCAGTAGGAAGTTTTGCAAGAACGTCTTTTCAAGCATCCTAAGCCTAAGATTCCCATAATTAGAGCGTAGGCACATAATAAATGCATGTACAAAGGAAAAAAAATACATATCTGAGTTAACACTTGCAAATCACCCAAAACAACTGGCACGCATTGACTTGAAGAACATAATGGTTAATAGTTATAACAGACCCTATATAATAGTTTCATGAAAATACTGATTTCTTTAAAAATGTGTTTTAAAATAATATAGCTTCAGTGCTCACCAAGCTATGAATTTGTAAACAAGTTAAAGACTTGCATCTTTAAGCAAGGTAAGCATGATACGTACCACTCTTTGAAACATATTAGAGAGACACCTGTTAGAGGAATATTAACTACATGGTCTTGAGGATATAAAGCCCATAGAAAAGACATTAAAAGCTTTCAAACTATCTGGTATTTCACATTTTCAATATTCTGCACTATGACTTTACTTTTATATGTAGCAGGATCTTTAATTCTGGTATGATCTTTAACAATATAGGTAACTAAAGTTTAGTAGCTCCCAGCAGTTACTTTAAATTTTAAGTAGGTAACTAACAGTCCTTCAGGAGTGAAAAGGAAAAATTTTTCTTACCTTTAGGTGCCACCTGTAGAAACTGCTTATGAAGTGTAGTAAGTTGTGAAATAGTTAGAGTACCACTTCCAGAGGTCTCTATGTGTGGAACATGTGGTGAAGGAACAGGGTCAGGAATCACTTTTACATCACTGCTGATGAAGAAATCTGTTTCTTCTAAAGTAATTTCATATTGGATTTTGCTAGAACTCTCAATATGATGTCGTGCAACCTCTATCAGCTTTTCAACACTGTGAAAGTGTAAATGCAGAAAACAATGAGTACTTTTAATACACAATGTTAATAACTTAGGTTCAAATTTTAATGTGTTTACACTTTGAGAGCTTTCCTGAAGTAAGAATTACAAATCCTCTGTGTGAATTTTGTAGTCAGCAAAATCATTATGACGTGTACTCCTCCTGTGGCAGCAAGAAATCTTCTGAGTGTGGTAAGAAATTTATGTAAAGGCAGATCTAAGCCACAGAAGGGACCTGATGGAAAAATATGAAAGGATGAGACTTTCTTTATTCCATAAATTTTATAGGGGTGGAGCATACATGTTGCATCTGTAATCATCCTTTATCCTATTTCAATGCCTTGTCTTCTGCTCTGCCCCTAAATCCTAGATGTACAAAGCATTGTGGAGGGGCATATGAACTCCTGTTTCAAGTGTAATGAGTACAATTTATACAAGGAAACATCAGCTGTTTATAATGTTCAACTAGACAATGTTTGGCCTGGGGTGTCAGGTCAAAGGGCATGATGTTCTGTAAATACTGTCTTTGGTAGTGCTTGTTGTTAGGAGAGCAAATAAAACTGGCTGGAAGGCAGAGGCTCAGCCTCTTTGAGCTACTGTCTGTTAGAGCCTTCACATCCTACATTCATGTCTCTTGTCGTGGGCTTGCCCTGACATGGATCAACTGCTAGTTGATCCCAGGTATGCTTCAGAAGTTAGTACAAGCCAGAAACATTTTCCAAAAGGCTAAGTGACCCCTTTCTTTTGGAGAGTAAAATCCTTTAATGATATGGACATAGGCTTCTATGCCAGATGGCCTAAGTGTCATAGAGTGGTCCCAAGCACATTTTATTTACTAGGACAGAAAAATTGCGAAGAATTTTTTTCTTAATGGACCTTGAAATAATTTTGAGAAATGTTTAGTGGGCATGGTGGTGTTGGGTTGACGGTTGGACTCGATGATCTTGGAGGTCTCTTCCAACCTTAATGATTCTATGATGCTATGATTCTATGTTATATATGGTGGTAATAACAGTAGGTGGAATTTTCCAGCATTGTAAAGCACAGCAAAGAAAATAACCCCACAATCCAAAGTGACAGAAGCCACTGAAATGACATAGAGGCTTCTACTAAATGGAATAACTGGTTGTCTGCTGAAGCTTGTAAATCTGCTAAATCTGTAGTCTAGAAAAACAGCAGAACTGATAATCACTTCTACTGCTGCCAGCAGAACCTTCTAATCATCCAAGAAATGAGTTATTACCATTCAAGTATTTAAGGTAAAATTAAATTCCAGTTCATGAAATGAAATTATTATTTTCTACATATTTTTTTCAAATTATTTGCTTCTATATAAACAACTATCTTTACTAGCATAGTCTAGTTTGAAAAAAAAGCTTCCTGTTTAAAATTGGATATACATTACCTGGACATTTCTGCCAGGAACCTGGATCCAAGCCACTTTTCCATATCTTTATAAGCCTCTTCTGCTTTCATTGTTAGCTCTTCAACAAATGCTAAAGCTTTTTCTTTTATAAGTTCTAGTCGAGATTTTGTAGTTACTTCTGTTTAAACAGTAACGTCATAATAATTAGTATTTATAAAATTTGAGGAAAATTCTCAGTCTTAAGCACCTAAAGTTTAACATGTTAACCTGTTTTTAGGCAGTAAAATGTTTATTTAATTTATCATATTCTTGAACAAATTGTTTTTCAGAATCACCCCTATTACACCATGTATTTTACAAAAGTGTGTCTTCCATAAGCATCAGAATTCACAAGGTAACAAATGCCTTAAAACTAATAGAGAGGTGCAGGAGATGTTTAAGTAGACAGTGACATTGAACTAAATTAACACTATACAGCAACAGAACTAGAAGCTTAATGATGCAAATGTGAATATCCTGTTATGGAAAAATTTTAAAGAAAACACATCTAAATCATTATGTATGTTAATCACAACAAAAGTTTGCTTTTCTGTTTCTAACTTCCAGCACTTTAAAATTAACCTCACTGGTTTTGCTCCGAGCTTCCTACATATAACTATTTTATACCCTAAAACTCAGGCTGCATTAGAAAAGAGTTTAGTTAGTGAGCACTAAGAAAATAATTCACCTCTACCAAAATTATGCATAGATTATTTACATGAACTTTTTAAAAACATTGAGAATTTAATGATTTTTAGTTTTCAGAATGGGAAGAACTGAGAAAAAAAAATCAACCTTTCACTGAGAGACTAATACTTAAAAAAAAGGAGCTAAAAGGATAAGAAATGGGAACAAGTCAGCAATTCAATCCTGAAGGCAAATTCAGTATTCAACTTGATTTTTCTTCATATTTAACCCTCTGTACTGCAGAATCTTTTAAACAATTAGTATTATATGGTAACTGGTACCGTGACTTCAAAGTTAAAGACTGTAAAATTATTTACATTATAATCCTTATTCTATACGCTACTAAGTTTTCATATAAATACTTAGGTTTGGGGCTGAAACATTTTTTAGGCAACCAATATAGAAAGATGGACCCTGGAAAATATAAGGCATGTCTTTTTAATGTTATTTCTCAGTCACAGTAGAATTCAAGTCTGCACACTTTCTGTATGGAGCAAGAAAGTTGATATTCAAAATTTTAAACGTAGAATGGATTTGTGTCTCACAGAGGGTTATTTTATTTGATGGCAAAGACGTAAGAGTAAAGGTTCTAAGCAACTGAAAGTACCTTAGAGGATGCTTTGTGCCTCTCTTCTTTAATACAGTTTAAGGCTGCCTTATTTGTGACTTCTCTGCATTCTCTTTGAGTAGCTGTTATCAGTATGTTACAAAGGTAAGTGTATGACAATTTTTGTCTCCCTGCATTTTCAGAAGCAGGTACTGCACAGTCCACTGAGAAAGCTGCTCTCTTAACAGTAGCAGAGTAAAAGGCAAGGCATGTTTATGTAACAGAGAAACGGAATATGAAATCAACATTAAAAACTTAGCAACTGTCCACAACTAGTGACATTGCTAGTCTCTATGTAGCTGTATAACCAAAAGCACAAGCATCCAGTTACCATAGCTGCAAGTGAAGCCATGATCCTCAAATATACCAGCTACGTGCCTGTACAATTATGAAATATAGCTCAACATGTTTAGTCTTCCTTAGATTCTTAACTTGGCTTTTTTGTTAAATATAAGATGAAAATGAAGCAATCTCAAGAAAACACAACATGTCAATGAATCACTAAAATTCATCTTCATACTATTAAGATCTTCAAAGTTACTACTATTCCTCTCCTCATTATCCCAAAATCTTAGCATATTTATTCCTAAGCTGCTCTTGAATTAAACCACGTTGAAAGTGGTAGCTGTACAAGTATTTGGTCTGGTGTGGATGTGCTTTAGTGGCTGGAAAGCTGCCTGGTGGAAAAGGACCTGGGGGTGCTGGTCGACAGGCGGCTGAACATGAGCCAGCAGTGTGCCCAGGCATGATTCTATGATTCT